TTCTGTGAACTGGAATGGTTGTCTTCGAGATGTTGTGAATGATGTTGTATTTATATTTAATTGGTGAGTGTATATTGGTGTGAGTCACACAGGTTCTTTGTTGTTCTTGTTTTGTTTTGTTCTTTGCTTTATTTTGTTTTCATATATCCAAGTGGACAGGGCTATTGTGCTGCTCCATATGCTAATTTAGCAGCACTTAAGCACTTACCACCTGTCTCCTGGTGGGTGTAATACAGGATGAAAATGTGTGCACAGATCTCTGTTAGCTGTTCATGCAGATCAGTTTAGGGCAACTTGGGATGGTATTTTCCACCATCTGTTGTTGATCAGTTAGTGCAAAAGGAGTGGTGGCCCTTACCCAGTCTGTGGATCTGCAGGAGGTATGGGTGTGGTTGAGTCATGTGGGCTCAGTTGCATCTCCCACCCCATTGGACAAAAAATAAAAATAAATAAAAACGAGAACAAAAAAACACAAACCACATAAACAAACTGCAACAACCACAAAAATGGAAAAAAAAAAAAAGGAAAAAAAAAATCCAATATCAGGGGAGGGGTAGGGATAAGAGAAGAAAGAAAGAGAAATGAGTAATTTTTTTTAAATGAGAAAAGTCTGAAAAGGGTAACAAAGGATGGGAAGGATGAAAAGAGAAAAAGAAAGAGAGAAAGGAACCTGTAAAAAAGGGGGAAAAAAACTAAGAACCAGGATGTGAAAGAAAAAAATATTTAAAAAAGAAAGGGGGAAGGAAAAAAAAGAATAATTTTAAAAATGAGGAAAAACAAAACTAGGTAGGCGGGGCACCCAGGCTGTGTTTCTGCTGGCAAAGCAGGGAATAGGAAACAGGGTACCTAGTCCTGGTACTAGTTTCTGCCTACCCAAAAGGGAACTGAGGGCAGGACACCTGATCTCAGACAAGTTCCTGTTGACCTATAAGATGTCTGGGACAAGGCACATGGTCTCAGAAGGAGTTCTTGTCTGCTTAAAATGCAGCTGGGTATAGGGTTTTCTGGTCTCAGAAACAGTGACTGCTGTCCCAAAAGGCAGTTGGGCACAGTGCTTCTAGTCTCAGAAAAATTTTCTGCCATATCAAAAGGGGTCTTGGTGTAGGGTGTCTAGACCCAGCAAAATTTCTTGCCAGTCCAAAATGCTGCTGGCAGCAGGAAGCAGCTGATCTTGGAGCTAGTTCCTGTGTATACAGAAGGCAACCAATCTCTAACAATTCCCTGCTGTTCCAGATAGTGTCTGGGGGCAAGTCTCCTGAAACCAGAAAAAGTTCCTGTCAGTCCAAAAGGTGATTGGCAGCAAGGCACCTGGTTCCAGAGAGAGTTCCAGCTGGCTTAAAAAGCAGCTGTGGGCAGGGTATCTAGTCCCAGGAAAAAAAGTTCCTGCCGTCCCAAAAGCTGGCTGGGTATAGGGTACCTGGTCTCAGAAAAAACTGCTTTGGGCACAAAAGGTGGCTGGAAACAGGGTTCCTAGTACTGGACCAGTTCCTACTGGCCCAGAGGACAGCTGGTGTCAGGGCACCCAGACAGGGATGGAATTCCTGCTGGTGGGTAAAGGTAGGGGGATGGCCACACCTACATTCACTAAGAGGGTACAGAGTACCAGGGAAATATCACACCTTTCTGATCATCAGCCACCAGTGTGGTTGCCCATGCAGTCCTTGGCAAGTGGAGCCAATTCTTAGTTTGCTTCCTGGATCAGAATGTTCCTTGCAAATATTTTAAATGGCCACACCATCAGGACAGCTGACAGTCCACAGCTCTGTTTGTCTCCTTAATTGCTGTGTTCAGTCAGATTCTTCTACTAGTCGGTATTTAATCCACTTCTTTATCCTTCCCTTCAAAGATAGGGTTCCAGGATTATCTTTTGTATCTGTTTCAACTGGTTTCTTGTTTCTTTATTGCAGGGAGTCTGTGTGGCTTGTCTTCCTATTCACCATCCTGCCAGCAGTCTCTGTTTTAAATATTTTAACTTAATTTTTATCCAGCCAATTCTCAGTGAAATTTATAAGTTTATTTTACTTATTATTTTGTCTTAGAATCTCAGGTTCACCATATCAATATCAAATAAACATATTATGGCAATATTATTAGTAGTTAGGTATGCAGACTTTGAGCCAGACTGCCTGGGCTTGAATCCCAGCACTGCTGTCTATTATTAGTTCTATGACCCTGGGCAGGTCATATGTAACATGGGGATAATAATTGTATCTCTTTTAGGTTGTTATGGAAAAATAAAAAGCATGCAATAAAGTTAGCTATTATTATTATCTTAATAATTGTTTAAATATATGTAATAATGAAGTACTAATATTTACTCTTCATTAATTCTTTGTAATCATTGAACAATTCTAGTTACGAAGTTAGGAATTTCTAAATTGGTCATACTAAAACTTTTTAACTACATCATCATTATTAATAAATTGAGTGCCTATTGTGTACCTATCATAATATATTAAAAGACTTTAGAGAAGTTACATTATTTTTTAAACAGTTTTACAATTATGTCTCACTTAACCTGGTTCACCAGTGTCTACAGTGTCATTGTTTGAATACTTTTAGGAAGTCTCACACTTATTTCTTTTAAGAGAACCAGTTAATAAGAGGAGTCTATAATCAAGGCACAAAAACTAGCTTATCACATTTAGTTTAAAGTTCATTGTAATTAACAGAGTGCTAAAATGCTATAGTATATATGTATAAACCAAAAAAAAAAAAACATTGCCATCAAGTCGGATCCAACTTATAGCGAGCCCTCTGTGGGTTTCTGAGGCAGTACTATTATGGAAGTAGATTGCCTAACCTTTCTTCTGAGGAGTGACTGGTGGGTTTGAACTGCCAGCCTTCTGGTTAGCAGTCCAAATGCCTTAGGCACTACCACATGAACTAATCCTGAATTTCCTTCATTCTTCCAACAAACACTGAATATCTGCTTCTTGGCAAGTATTGAGCTAGACATGGAGGAACAAAGATTTCATGGAAGACAGAAAGATAAAATTGTCTCTGCCGTAGCACCAACATATTTATTGTCTAGTAAGGGAAAATGCTTACAGGCAAATAATTTCAGTACACCACAAGCTATGACAGAAGCTTATTCACAAAAAAAATGGTTCCATAAAGCAGAGAATGGTCAGCTCTGCCGGATACCTATCAAAGAAGCCTTCACAAAAGAGAAAAACAGTATGGTAGGTTCCCAATTACAGATAGTTTTATACCACAGGGTATATAAGGATATATCCTGGTAGAAAGAGAAGGCTTCTTAGAAAATTTGCAGGAGGTGAAAGTAGAAGAAAAGGCAGAGGCCTTGATACAGTAATAAGGAATTAAGATTTTATCTTGTAGGAGATGAGGAAAAATCATTGAAAAGTTAAGAAGACTGACCTCAGATTTAGATTTTAGAGAGATCATTCTGGTCACAGTATGGAGAATAGATTACAGAGTGGTAAAGTTAGAAGCAAGGAGACCATTTTGGAGGCTAAACCTAAACTAAGATATAACAGCAAAAACAGGAAGAGATAGATGGGAAAGATATTTAAAGCTTGGATAAATAGGACTTATAAGCAGTTGGACATGAAAACACTAGAGGAGTCACGGAAGTTTCTGGCTTGAGCAATTAGGTAAGTAATACTGTTCAATGAAATCAAGAATACAGGGCTTGAACTCCTTTGTGGTTGAAGACAGTATGTTCTTTTGGGACATATGGAGCTTGAGACACCTATCTGGCACTAAAATACCTAGGAGGCATTTGGTGTACAGCCCAGGAGACTAAGGTCATAAATTCTGTTCAGAAATTATCACCATGTAAGTGATTATGAAAGTCACTCTTAGACACCTATGAAATTATCAGTGAATGTGTGTAGATTAAAAAGAGAAGCAGACAAGGACAGAAACCTGGGTATCACTAACATGTATAGGATCAGTGGAAAAAGAAGACACAACTGTGAAGGAATAGTGGTAGTCCAAGAGTGATGTCTTAGAAGCTAAACAAGGAGAGCTTCAAAAAGACGGCTTGGTAGATTTTGTCAAATATTACAAAGTCAAGTAATTTAATATCTGTTAGTAACCCTTTTGAAATCCTCATGGCGCAGTTGGTAAACACTCGCTAATAAAAGGTTGAAGGTTTGAACCCACCAGTCACTCCACAGAAGAAAGATGTGGAAGCCTACTTCAGTAAGATAACAGCCTTGGAAACCCTATGGGGCAATTCTACTCTGTCCTATAAGGTTACTATGAGTCAGAATCAACTCAGCGGCAACAGGTTGGGGGGAGTATCCCTTTCAAAAGGAATCTCAAGGCAGACACTAAGTTGCAATGGGATGAAAAGTTAAAGAGTTAGAGAACTTCAGAAAGTACTCTTTTAGGGATTTGAAGTTTAGATTTGCCGTTTTATTCACAAAGCTAGATGGTCTTTGTATCTGTGCATCGCATCTTGATAACTTAATACAGAACAATAGTATTACAATAAAGAAATTTTTATTATTTTTCATCGTAATTATTAATGGTAAGCCAGTGGTCAATTCCCAAATGATAAAACGTTTCTCTGAAGTAAAACAGAGATATGCATTCATCTAACGTAGTACCTAAAAGAACTAACAGATCTGTCCTGGAAGAAGTGCAGCCGGAATGCTCCTTGGAAGTAAGAATGGCCAGACTTCATCTCACCTACTTTGGTCATATTGTCAGAAGGGACCATTCTCTGGAGAAGGATGTCATGGTTGGTAAAGTGGAGGGTCAACAAAAGAGGGGAAGGCCCTCAACAAGATGGACTGACGTGACCCGGTGGTTGCAGCAATGGGCTCAGGTATAGCAAGGATTGTGGGGCTAGCACAGGACTGGGCAGTGTTTCCTTCTGTTGTATGTAGGGTCACTATGAGTCAGAGACAACTTGATGGCACATAACAACAACAACATGGTACCTTGTATATGATGAATGTTCAGTGAATATCTTTGTTGTAAAAATAAATTTCTATTGAACATTGTTTCTTCTTTCCCTCCAAAAGTGTGTGGATTCTCATGTCATATAACTTGTGTAAACAAAGCTCCAACTGTGTGTCCAGTTCCTCCTGAACAGACAAAGGGTCCCCTGGGTATAGATCCACAGAAAGGAATAGGAACAGCATATGAAGGTCATGTCAGGGTAAGTATATTAGGTCAAGTTTAGATTAATCTCTGAAGGTTTAATAATAAAATTAAACCCAGTTGCTTTATGAACATAGTTCTAGACAGAAAATTAAACAAATAAAATTAATCTAATCATTTTACTTCATCCAGAGTAATGACTTGGGGAAAAAAAAAAGTTAGCCTGTGCTCAGAAATTCCAAGATGTCTCAAACTTTTCTGTACTGTCCCTGTCTTGTTGTGAACAAATGTTGCACTTGCCATAAAGTAGTCTTTGGCAGGTGATTTTGCCAGAGAGGTGACATACGGTTATGAAGTATGAGATAATTATCATGGCATTATCTTACTTGTTACCATGAGTAAGGCTTAAAGCATGCACTGAACTTCTATATTACTACCAAATTTGAGGGGAGCTCTGGTAGCATAGTGGCTAAGGCACTTGACTGCTAACCAGACAGCTGGCGGTTCAAACCCACCAGCCACTCCTCGGAAGGAAGGTTGGGCAATCCTACTTCCGTAGTGATACTGCCTCGGAAACCCAAGGAGGGGTCGCTATGAGTCAGGGCTGACTCGACGGCACATAACAACAACAACAACAACAAACTTAGAAAGAGAGTCACGAATGTTACTGGAATGAATTACTAGTGAAAATGGCACCATTACTTAAATTTGCAGAATAAAAAAATATTTAATATTTTCTCAGATTTCTTCATATTAATGATACTTGTGTTCCATCCACTACTTTACAAACCAAAGTATAGACTTAAAATACATTAACATCAACTTAGATTTTCACCATGCAAATTACATGGTAACTGAAGGAGCTGCTGGTGACGTTTCAGTTGAATTATTTTTGTTTGTTTGTTTGCTTCCTTGCTTGTCTGTCTAAAAATAAAACTAAGATGCCTAAGCCAGCTGGAGTGAAGAAAGGATGGCAAAGAGCATTGGCTGTAGTTTGTGACTTCAAGATATTTCTGTACGATATTGCTGAAGGAAAAGCATCTCAGCCCAGTGTTCTAGTCAGTCAAGTAATTGACATGAGGTAAGCTTTTGAAAGTGAAAATATTTGTATGATTGCAACATGGAATAAAAAGTTTCTGATTTTGCTTTTAATAATATTGCCATGTTTTTATTTAATTGATTTGTTGATTAATTTTACATTAATTTATAATCTAATATTACTGTATTAATATAAGTAATGATGGAAGGTAAGGTATATTCATAAGATGGGTACATGTGTATGAATGTGTTGAGGCTAGGGGCCAGGAAAAAGAAGCTGATGTTTGAGTCCAAAGACCTGTTCAGGGGCTGCTAGGGTAATGGAGGCCTAGTATATAGTATTTATATCATCACCTCATAGTTTAGACTATATTTCCAATGTAAGGAAAGGCAGTAAAAATCTCAAAATCAGACAAGCTCTTGGAATATACAGTGAATCAGTGAACATTTATATAATCACATCTCATGAGAGAAAAGCAATTTGCTTTTCTATCTCTGAATGTTTCTGGTCTCATTTTGCAGACTTTCCTCATGCCCTATGGCAGTCTCTCCCTTTTCTCATTAACTCCAGGTACTCTCTGAGTGATCTCATTTACTCCCATGGTTTCAGCCATCGCTTCTGCATTTTGTTGTTGTTGTTGTATGTGCTGTCGATTCGGCCCTGACTTATAGCGACCCCTCCTTCCTTCCAATCACTTCTGCATTGGTGACTCCTAAACATGTGTCTCCAGTCCAAATCTTTCTCCTGCACTCAAGACCAGGATTTCCAGCTCTGTCTCTCACTAGCATTTCACACCAACATCACAAACACATTTTCATCCCCCACAAATACAGAATATGAAGGAGCAGATAGAAGCAATATTAGCAAGGAAAATTTGACAGAACCCACTAAGGGACTGAATAGATAAAGACAGAAAGAATAAAAAATAAGACTAAGGTGTTAAGCCTTCAAGACCAAGGGAATGATGGTATCAATAACCAAATAAAGGAAATCACAAGGAATAAATTACTGTGGAGAAAATCTGTTTTCTGTTTTGAAGGTGCTTGCTCTTTATTATGAGAGGCAATAGGGTCTCCTAGAGGCTGTAGAGGAGCTCTGGTAGCATAGTGGCTAAGACACTTGCCTGCTAACCAGACGGCTGGCGGTTCAAACCCACCAGCCACTCCTCGGAAGGAAGGTTGGGCAATCCTACTTCCGTAGTGATACTGCCTCGGAAACCCAAGGAAGGGTCGCTATGAGTCGGGTTTGACTCGATGGCACATAACAACAACAGAGGCTGTAGAGAACTACCAGGGTGCAAATCTGTTTTATATGTATACTTAGTGGCTTCAGTAATTACTTTTAGCTCTTGTATACTGTGCAAGTGTTGAGTCACTCTCGATAACTTACTTTAAGCACTGCTAGTAAGACTGTAAAATGGTACAACTGCTGTAGAAAATAGTGTGGCAGTTCCTCAAAAAGTTAAACATCAAATTACCAGGTGTGGTGGTTAAGTTTGTGTGTCAACTTGGATGGTCCTGGTTGAGTGGCTGAGCAGCTGGATGTAGTTATTCTCCATGATTGAGACTGGCAGTCAACTCCATGGTGGAATCTACTGTGAGCAGCTGAGTAGCTGCCTTAGGGATATGGCTTCCTGTATGTAAGGAGAAACCTTAGGGAACAGTCACTAGCTTATGGCATGCTTGAACCCTGCATGTAGCTGTGTCATTGCTCAGCAGCCTGCCTTGATCTGCCGACCTTGGGACTTTCAATGGACTTAAATTAATGGCCTGCCATGTGGTTTGGTAACATCAGGACTGTGCCATTTTATTTGTCAACCTTGGGCTTATTAGCCTCAGCAGCCAGTTGCTGCTGAGTGAAGAGATGCCTCTAGTTTCAGTGGACCAGGAGCAAGAGGCAGAGCTGAAGCCCAAGGCTGAGGGGCTTTCAGCCAACCCCTAGAGACTGTCACTTCGAACTTAAGACTTAAAGCATCCAAACTGTAAGAGAAGAAACTTCTGTTTATTAAAGCCATCCCATTTGTGGTACATTCTTGTCAGAGTGGCCCTAGGTAACCAAAATACCAGGTGACCCAGCAATCCCTCTCCTATGTATATTACCAATAGAATTGAAAGCAAGAGCACTAATAAACACTTGTACACCACTGTTCATTGCAGACTATTCATATGCCAAAAGGTGGAGACACACTAGATGTTATTCATCAGCGGATGAATGAATAACTGGTACATACATACAATGGAATATTACTCAGCTATAAACAGATATGAAGTCCTGATACATGCCACAATGTGGGTGAACCTTGAAAACATTATGCTTAGTGAAATAAGCCTAAGTCAGTCACATAAATAAGTCAATCACAAAGGGACAAATAATATATGATCCCACTTACGTGAAACATCTAGAATAGAGAAGTATTGTAGAGAATGAAGTTTATTCATGGTTACCAGGGGCAAGCAGGAGGGAGGGGAAAAGAAGGGATCAGTGCTTAGAGGATGCTGAGCTTCTTTTAAGGGTGAAGGAGAATTTGGAAACAGGTAAGGGTGATGGTTGAACAGCATGGTATGCAAAGGAAAGGTCACTGGACTGTACATATGAAAAACGTTGAAATGACAGATATTTTGTTGCATATGTATTTACCACAATTTAAAACAATATTACTTTTGACACTATCCATTACAATGAGGGGAAAAATTTAAAAAAAAAAAAAAAAGTTCAGTTTGAGTGTTTTATGCAATTAAGTTTCAAGGATTGCCTATTTGAGTACACACCCAAAACCACATACCTACATATACTGACTTTTAATGTTTCACTTTTTCTTCAGGGATGAAGAATTTTCCGTAAGTTCAGTCTTGGCTTCTGATGTTATTCACGCAAGCCGAAAAGACATACCCTGTATATTTAGAGTAAGTGTGTATGCTATAATTTGATCTCTGAATTATATAGTTTTTGATAAGTATATGTTTTAACCTCTCCATATAAATCATAAACCTACTCAGACTAGTACCAAATCTTATATTTCTGTATATCCTCCATATCATCTAATATATAAATGTATAAACACTGGTACTAAGTAAATATTTAATTAGTGAAAGACCTGTAGAAAACACAAATGTATGGCTTTTAAAATAGGTTTCCTCTTGTGTAATATCTCTAAGTCGCCATTTCGTTTTCAAATAAATACTACCATAATGGAAAATTTGATAAAGCTTTTTTTAAAATAGAAGTTTATCTCTTTAAAAGTGTTATTTTTAATACTAATGTATGTTTCTGTTACCTGTTGCTTTGTAACAACCCTTACAAAATTTAGTGGCTTAAAACAACAATGATTTATTGTTTTTTACATTCCTGTCAGTTGGCTGGGCAGTTTTTCTGGGGTGTCTGGACTATTCATGTAGCTACTCTGGGCCTAGGTGCTGGAGACTGGCTGGAGTTCTCAGTTCTCCTCTGTGTGGTTGGACTCTTTCTCCATGTGGTCTCTAATCATTCAATAGTCTGGCTCAGGTTTACGGCTGGCTTCCACAGACCAAAAGGAGCCACCAGGCCTTTTAAGGACTAGGCCCAAAACAGACGTTATATCTAGCCCTTTGTCATGAGACAAACTCAGAATTAAGGGGAGGAGAAATAGATTCCACCTCTTAAGAAAAATGGAATTCTGTAGAAGGAATTGTTGGCAGCCATCTCTGGAGGCTATCTATCTCAGTATGATGCTTGAATTGGCATTAAGACAATAAAGGTAGAAAAGGACTACTGACCTATTTTGTGCCTATATGGTTAGTATTTGTCTATGAATCTTGTATCTAAGGAAGGGCAGACAATAGCCTTAGTTAGTTTTCTTTAAAAAAGTCAGTGTGTGTAGGTATTTGTTCTCTCCTTAGCCACCAAAGGATTCTACAGAGGCCCACTTACCTAGAACTGATTCACATAGTGGGATTTTATTGTCACTGATGCTTAAATTCATATTAATAAGGAATCAATAACCTTATTAAAATTTAAATATTTTCTGATTATTAGGGCTGTTTGCATAATTATAAACCTTTATTTAAATACTAGTTCAAGTGGTCTGATCTTCTCTAATGATAGTATGAGTTACTGGCATGAAGTAACAAGAATATAAGTATTTCTGAACATTTCTGACTTTTTAAAACAAATTAAAAAATAGTATGGTATAATAGTTAGGACCATGGACACTGGATCCCAGACTAATAGTTATGTGCTCATGGAGAAATTTTCTCATCTATAAATGAGAATGTGATAACAGTATTTACCTCATAAAGATATTATATATGTTAAATGAATTGATACTTTTAAAGTGCTTAGAATTATTGACCAGTGTTAGTAATTACTCAGTCAATGTCAGTTGTTGTTATATGAGCAGGTCTAATGCATTTCTCAGAAGGAAGGTTGGGCAATCCTACTTCCGTAGTTCTACTGCCTCGGAAACCCAAGGAGGGGTCGCTATGAGTCAGGGCCGACTCTACGGCAAAACAACAACAATGCATTTATTTCTTTTTGAGGAGCCCTTGTACACTGTGGTTAAATTCTCAGCTACTAGCCAAAGAATCAGTGGCTCAAACCCACCAGGAGCTCCACGGCAGAAATATGTGGCAGTCTGTTTCTGTAAAGATTTACAGCCTAGAAAACTCTATGGGGCAGTTCTACTCGGTCCTGTGGGGTTGCTGTGAGTTGAAATCAACTTGATAGCAATAGCTTTAATCTGTCAACAGGTTTAATGTTCTGGCATTTTATACCAAGGAAAGTGAAAATAATACTAACATTTAAATGGTATCTGCTGTTTTTCCTTTGTCATAAATTCTAATGCTAAAACTAGTTATTCCTCTGATTAGGAATAGCTAAACTCTAACCTAGGAGCTCTGGTAGCATAGTGCCTAAGGCACTTGACTGCTAACCAGACAGCTGGCGGTTCAAACCCACCAGCCACTCCTCGGAAGGAAGGTTGGGCAATCCTACTTTCGTAGTGATACAGCCTCGGAAACCCAAGGAAGGGTCGCTATGAGTCGGGGCCGACTCAACGGCATATAACAACAACAACAACAAACTCTAACCTAAACCAAACCCACTGCTATTGAGTCAATTCTGACTCATAGCCACCCTCTAGGAGAGAGTACTGCCCCATAGGATTTCCAAGGCTATAAATCGTTGTGAAGCAGATTGCCTCATCTTTTTCCTGTAGAGCAGCTAGTGGGTTCCAACCACTGACCTTTTGGTTAGCAACTGAATGCATTAACCACTGCACCACAGAGCTCCTAGAATCTGTTAAAGGTATCATTTAATTAATGCTTATTTTATTGATGAGTGCTAAGCAAACTAGCTTAGTCATAAACTAGCATGTTGTTGTTGTTATGTGCCGTCGAGTCGGCCCCGATTCATAGCGACCCCTCCTTGGGTTTCTGAGGCAGTATCACTACGGAAGTAGGATTGCCCAACCTTCCTTCCGAGGAGTGGCTGGACATCTATTTTGGTCTTTTCTTTTTTCTTGTCTTTTAATGACCATTTGCTTTTCTTCATGTATG